TACGTTCAACTGACGGCGATCTCCAATATCACAGAGCAAGGGTTCACGATGACCGATTACCCGTCCTTTCTGGAGACGCCTGCTGGTCAGAAGTACCAGGACTCATCCATCGTGACGGTGCGCTTGATGGACAATGCTGCCATCTTCATCCCCCACGGGCTCGCCGTGCACATGGTGCACATCCCGACGGCTGCGGCCGATGACGACGAGACCAACCCACCGCCGAAGAAGAAAGGCAAGTCGGCAGCACCGAAGACGACTGATCAATCGAGGGTCGCATTCGTGCTCAGCATCCCGCTCCTGCGTGCTGCCGACATCAGCGGTGTGGACGAGAAAGTGCGACAGGTTGTCTCAGCCTGGAATGAGACACACTTCAAAACTAAGAATGAGGATTCGATGTGGGCCAACCGTGCAAAGTGGTTCCGTGCTCACTACAAGTAGAGTGGGCTGGACGACCGCCCAGGAGCCTCCACCATGGGCAGCAGAGGCAACATCGTCAATATCAGCATCGGAGCAAGTGTCATCATCATTATCATCATCATCACTACCTTCGCCGACGATGGTTGCCACGATGGCGGCATCGATGCCATCATCGTGACAACCACCGTCATCGGTGTGGCCATCATCGCCACTGCCACCATCGGCAATAATGATCCCACCGCCGACCTTATCACCGATTGACGGTGGGTAATTCTCGCCATCTCCTTATTGGGCCTCATCCTCCCGCCTCCTCCCTCCTCCACCTCCCGTTCCTCCCCGTCCCCTCTCTTGATGGAGTGGGCATAGGTTCCGACTTCGATCGGACTCAGAGTAGGCCTCAGAATCGGGGTCGGGGCCAACTCGGATTCTAAGATGCCCCAATGAGGAGACAAGAAAGGGGATACGGCACGTGGAGGGAGGGAAGGAGATGGAAGACGGGAGGAACAGGAGGAGAGGGGCGGGGGTGGAGGGGAGACGGGAGGTTTAGGAGGGGACGGAAGGGCAAGGGGAGAAGGAGGGATGAGGAGGAGGAGGACGACGAGGAGTAGAGGGACGGAGTAGTGGAGTAGAGGGACGGGGTGAGGAAGGGATGGGGGGACGATGACAGCAACGACGAGTGAGAGAGCGGGGAGCCCTGGGCGGGGAGAGAGTGCGCGGCCCGCCCTCCCCCGCCCGTCGGCGGCCGCCCGTGGGCGGCTTCACGGCGGAGGCGGGGCGCGCCGCCGCCCACTGCCGAGAAGAGGGAGGGGGGAGGACAACGAGGACGAGGAGGGCTGACGGGACGCTTAAACAACGACCCCCCTAAACAATAGAAACTGCCCCCCCCTCCTTGTGTCTCTACTCCTCCTCCGTGTCCTCATCTTCCGTGTCAGTATTCCCGTTCTCTCCCATCCACCGTTATTATTCCTCGTCATCTCTCATCCTTGTTCGTCCTCCATGCCCCTTCCTCGTCGCCCCCACTAGGCTCCGAACGTTCCGCATTATATATCCTCCTCACGTTCTCTCCTTTCCCCTCCCTCCGCCTCCTCCTCCTCCTGTTTTTTTTCCACCGCCCTCGATGCTACGCACGCAGGCCCAAACAAAGATAGGCGCACTCAAAGTGCAGCTAAACAACTCAGACATGTACCCTCACGATCGGCACGCACGCACAACTGAGCCAGGTAAGACACGTCATGGGTTCACCCAGATAACGCAACACTTACGACACCCATGACTAGCACAACCAGACAACACGGCCAGGTAGGGCCATGCATAGATCTAGCCACGCACCACCACGACCAATGGTACGTGTACAATCATGCAGGGAACGCGTTGTGAAATCCAGTGGGCGCCGTGCAGTCTGCACGCGTCCTGCGCCTGCATCGCGCGGCATCACGTACGGGGCGCGACGGTTGCTAACGTGCGAAAGGTCTTTTGCACGCCCCTCGCATTCGCATGGGTGTTGGCGATCTATGTTGCAGGCGATGGCAGGTTTACACAGGGTGTGTTGTCGGGTTTGCCCCCCAGCGCTGGTCTGGTATGGGTTCCTGCTCTAAACCATTGAGTTGCGATGGGGTTACTACAGCCCAAGGTCTTACCAC